TGAGTAAGCAAGCATCCGAGAGGACAAGACACTTATGGGAGATGAATATGCTCATGATATGTTGTGCAGATGTATGTAAATGATGAAATATTTTAAAAATAAAAATCACAGCTAATCTTCAGTTTTTCATCACACACACATACACACACACACATACACACACACACTCCACTCCCTCAAAGCACTAAAAGATGTCAGCCATGATATCTAATTCCATGAAGAACTGTGCCTGCCTGGACTTTCATAGATATTTGTTCACATTGAGCATATTACTTTTACTGTTTCTACTGCCCAGAGCAACTTCCCATGTTCAACCAGCCATGGAGCTCACTCTCCAGTGAGCTAGCAAATCCATCCCCTCACACTGTGAGAACAGGCTGAGCCCCAGACTGATTCCAGCATGTGGTTAGAAAATACAAGGTAAGCCAATTGTCCCCAAGTGAAAACAGTCCTGGGGGACACCTGACCTCACATGTGGAAACTGTAGGCATGGATAACTGGTAGAATGCATTAGTAGGCACGTGTAGAAAATGCCCATCTCACAGGACCCACCCAGGGAGCTCACATCAATATCTCCTGCTTAAAGGATCCGGTGAAAACAGCAATTAAAGAGTAGAGCTCTGGCCATCACATGTGGGAAATGCCTCAGCTCACACTCAAAAGACAGACACTAAAAATGGCTGTGGCAGGGCCTATAACTCAGTCCGTAGATGCTTGCCTAGCGCACATGAAATCCTGGGTTACATCCCCCCCAGAACCTCTTGAGCCAGTTGTGGCCTGTAACCTCAGCACTTGGGCACTGTAGGCAGGAGGAGCAGGCATTCAAGGTCATCCTTGGGCTGCACAGCAAACCTAAGGCAAGTCTGGGATACAGCCGTAAACACATTAGCCAAAAAAATATTGATACTAATGATAAAGAATTTGTAAAAGCAGTAGAGAAGGGACGAGAATACCAACAAATATAAAAATTCAATTTCCCCATTGAAGACTAATTCAGACCATGCAGCCAACCAGCCAAGTCATTTTTGAAATTCTATTAAAGTTGGCAAAAAAAAAACAGAGTGCCTGAATTAATGGTCAACATAACCCTCATTTCACCAGAAAATGAGCTGCCTCAGTCTGCTCTCAGCCTGCTTGTGGTGGCAGTTCATGGACATAGCTCTGCAGCCCAGCAAATGAAAGGAAATATGCTAAATTCCTGACTCCTCTGCCTATGGAAAACAAAAACAAAAACAGTGACTTATTAACATAATGATCTCCATCTGCCATTGCTTTGCCTGCAGCAACTTGTGTGTGAGTGTGCCTTCATGTCACCTGCCTGGGTACCACAGTCCGCTCAATATGCTGATCTCAACGGTGTCAGCAACCAATGGAATGCTGTTTTCCAGGCAGCAGGCAATGAAGGTGTCCAACTAATAATTTTCCTAAAAATGAGATGTAGAACATATCAGGTGGTGATCAGAACCTGTCAGGTGTGACTAGAACCCATCGTGTGTGATCAGAACCCATCAGGTGGTGAGCAGAGATATGATCATAACCTGTCAGGAGTGATCAGAACCTGTCAGGTGTGGTCAGAACCTGTCAGGTGTGGTCAGAACCTGTCAGGTGTGATCAAAACCTGTCAGGTGTGGTCAGAACCTGTCAGGTGAGATCAGAACCTGTCAGGTGTGATCAAAACATGTCAGGTGGTGAGCAGAATGTGTCAGGTGTAGTCAGAGCCTGTCAGAACCTTTCAGGTGTGAACAAAACTTGTCAGATATGATCAAAACCTGCCAGGTGGTGATCAGAATGTGTCAGGTGATGAATACAGCTATGAAAAAGAAAATAAGACAAAGATTCCAGATGGTGACAGTGTGAGATTTATTATTCTGACCAAGACTCCCAGGGGTGTACTATAAAACAGTTGGGTTCATTAGCTCACTGCAGTAAGAGAGAACACTCTCTGTTGGAATCTTCATCTAACACAGAGAGCATCCAAAGCACTTGGAATATTGGAACTGTGCTGGGTTTGGGGACAGTTCAAAAAAGCAGGAGCTGGCTTTGGTTTGAGCAGGGTCAGGAAGTGTAGTTCTATGGTGTCTCTCTGTCAAGATAGGGCATAAGTCTGCAGGTGATGGTGCATGCCTTTAATTCAGCATTTGGGAGGCAGAGGCAGGCACATTTCTGAGTCCATGGCCAGGCTGGTCTACAGATTGAGTCTGAGAACAGCCAGGACTACACAGAGAAACCCTGTCTCGGGGGGGGGGGGGGAAGATAGGACATTAAAAAGCCCAGGCTGGTCCTTGAAATACCGACGGTGACCTTCGAGTCCTGATCCTCCTGCCTCTACCTCCCAAATGCTGGGATTACAAGTGTGCACCACATCTGGCTGTTTATGACTGGGTGTCTTGATTCCATGTGAAGGTGGGTAAAGGGAGCAACAGTCCCGATAGTCATGTCAGGGACATTTAACCAAGCGCCCACTTAAACAATGCATTCCAACAGTGTTACAGAGAGACTTGTTTTTGTCTTGATACAAGTGTCAAGACACAGAGTGGCCCTAAGGGAAGCAGGTGTTCTGTAACATTTTTGTGGATGTCACAGCCAAGCTGAGAGTTCCCTGCTGACTGCTTCATGTCAGGGGGCTGCTGCTTTTCCTGTCTGTTCTCATTCAACCTCCCAAGATACTGCTGTGAGTATTAAATCCGGAAACTAGAGATAAAAAGATGGCCCCTCGAGTAAAGATCCTTGACAGATGACCCTTGACACCTTAGTTCCTTCCCTGGAGACGAAGTACAGGTGGAAAGTGAGAACTGAGTCTGCAAAGCTGTCCCCTGACCTCTGCAGGGGATGTCACTGCATCCCTGCCCCATTCCCACCTCCTCTCCCTCTCTCTTTCTCTCCCTCCCTCTCTCTCAGCACACATGTGCACATGCAGGCATGCATACACATGTGCACACACATACACATGATTTATTTGGTTGCTTAATAATGTACGTATGTGAGTGTACCATTTAGGTGTGCATGTATACGTGTGTTCAGGTCAAAAGGGGTGTTGGATCCCCTGGAGCTGCAGTTACAGGCAGTTGTGACATACCAACTGTGAGTCTTCTAGCAGCAAGTATCCTTAAGCACTGAACCATTCCTCCAGCACCAGAAAAAAAAATGTAAAATTAAAATTAAGCCAGAAACTACATGTTATGCAGCTATTTCCTTCTGGTCAAAACCTTCATTCTAAAAGAGGTCACAGAGGAAGACTCTTAAGACTCATGAAGCATAGAAAGTTACAAGACACAGGATATATATATATATATATATATATATATATATATATATATAGAGAGAGAGAGAGAGAGAGAGAGAGAGAGCAGAGCTCCAGGGATGTAGCTTGGGTGACTCATCACCACCTATCCATACTGGAATCTTCTAAGTAACTTCTTAGCCACACTCTTCTAAGCAACTCTAACAAAACTGTCGGTTCATTGCGTTAACCCTGGTTGGAACCTTTTTTTTGTCTGTCACTTGTACCCTGTCTGAAATGCACAGGATTCTGTTCATGTCTCCATAGGAAAAGTCACACAACACTAAGGTCCAGGAAAGATAAAGACTTCTTCTAAAGAAAGAAGGGAAGGGAGGGAGCGAGAAAGGAATGAATGAATGAAGGAAGGAAGGAAGGAAGGAAGGAAGGAAGGAAGGAGGGAAGAAAGAAAGAAAGAAAACCAGGGATGGAATTCAGGGGACCTATCTTCCTGTTCTATGCCAACTTGACACAGTTCAAGTCATCTTAGAGGAGGGAATCTCAATTTAAAAAGCATCTCCATAAGATCAGGCTGTAGGCAGGCCAGTAAGGCATTTTCTCAATTAATGATTGATGTGGGAGTGCATAGGCTATCGTGGATGATGCCATCACTGGGCTGGTGGCCTTGGGTTCTATAAGAAATCAGGTTGAAATTTGAGGTCAGCCTTGTCTACAGAGTGAGTTTCAGTGCAGCCAGGACTGTTTCATAGAGAAACTCTGTCTCAAAAAAACAAAACAAAACAAAACAAGAAGAAGAGAAAGGAAGGAAGGAGGGAAGGAGGGAGGGAAGAAAAGAAGGAAGGAAGGAAGGGAGGGAGGGAGGAAGGAGGGAAGGAGGGAAGGAGAGAGGAAAGGAAGGAAGGGAGGGAGGGAGAGAGGGAAGGAAGGAAGCATGTTGAACAAGCCATGGAGAGTGATCCGGTAAGCAGCTCCCCTCTGTGGCCTCTGCATCAGTTCCTGCCTCCAGGTTCCTGCCCTGCTTGAGTGTCTGTCCTGACTTCCTTCCATGATGAACTGTGATGATGAAGCATAAGCCCCCCCCCCCCCAGTTTTGATGGTGATGTTTCAGCACACCATAGGAACCAATGTGGCATGTACCTTTAATCCCAGCACTCGGGAGGCAGAGGCAAGCAGATCTCTGTGAATTGGAGACCAGCCTGGTCTACAGAGTGAGTTCCAGGACAGCCTCCAAAGCTACAGAGAAACCCTGTCTCAAACAACAACAACCACACACACACACACACACACACACACACACAAAGCCAAGGCACTTCCCCTTCAGCCTCATGCAATCCACACACAGATCTCTCCAGCTCTATCTGCACACTGGAAAGTCCTTGGCAAAGCCTTGTCCACAATGAGGACACAGGGAGGATCAGATGGTAGCTGCAAAGCTTGAGGGAGAAGCCACCACCAGTAAACACTCATTGCCTATGCCAGAGGATATGGAAATGTTCAAGACATTAAGTCACATGGTCACCATCAAAGCAAACATAGTTATCTCCTAGGGAAGAGAAACAGTTTCTAACTTAAGTAAATCAAAAGGCTTACATTTCTGTAACAATCAAAACAAATCTATTCAGCAACATTTTAAGTACCCAAATAAGGACATAATAGGAGCATAATTCTCTCAAGCATAAAGGTAGCAGCATGGAGTGGCTGCTATTCATTCTATGCTACATTTTATAACCCCTCTCTGGCAGGAGCAAAACTCCTGGCTTACCAGAAGGTTTTCCGGTTTCAGATCCCTGTGGACGATCTTCTTGTCGTGCATATGGACGAGGGCCTTGCACAAGTCTGTGATCATGAGTGCAGCATCAGGCTCTGGAAACTTCACACTCTCGATGATGGCATCAAAGAGGTCCCCTCCCTGAACGTACTCCATGATCAGGTAGATCTCTGCTTCGGTTTCATACACCTCGTGCAGTTTCACTATGTTGGGATGACAGAGACTCTGAATGATTAAAATCTCGCTGTCGACTATGTCCTCCTTACCCTTCAGCTTGGACTTGTCAATAATCTTCATGGCGAAGGCCTGCTTGGTCTCGAGGTGCTTGCACTCTTTCACGACGGCAAAGTTCCCGTCCCCAATGACGCGGCCGATTTCATACTGCTTCCCCACATCAGCTGAGATGATGCCCTGCGGCCGCAGCTTCCGGCCCAGTGGCCGTTCTGACTTGCTCTCTTCCAGCTTCGTCTTAGGCTCCCTTTCTACCCCCATCCTCCTTCCTCCTGACCCGCCAGGCTTCTTCTCGTGCTCTGCCTCCTTCTCCTCCCCTCGGGTCCTGGGGAGCTGCGGGGGATCGGCCTGGCGCTCTCTCAGGAGCCAGGCTCCATGCTTGTTCCTGCACGTGTGCCTGGTGTCTTTCCTCGCATCGACCAGCCCCTCCTGTACAGCTGGTGGACCTTCCGCGAGGTCCTTCTGGGGCTTGGCCGCTCCTTGGGGGTGACTTTCCTGAGGCTCCGGGCCTCTGTTCTCTTTCTTGTCTGAGTTGTGGCTGGGTCTCCTCAGCTCCTGAGTGGGATTCCTGGGGCCGCTGCGATGGCTGTCAGCCTTCCAGCCTTCCTCTCCATCCGTAGAGTTTGCCTCAGAAGGCCTCCGGCAGCTCTTGGTCCTTACCAGCTTCTCTGAATCCCACTTCTGACCCCTCCCCAGGTCCAGCTCACTGATCCCCAGAGGACACCGCTCCCTCTGGAGGCCCAGCTGCAGCTCCCTTTCCCGCTTACACTTTTCACCCCTGACTATCTCCCCGGAGGTCTTTTCAATCTCCACCCCGAGGCGCTTCTCCCCACTTGCATGGGTCTCCTCCCGAGTGGCTTCCCTTGGTGGTGGCAAGGCACCAGGTTCTGACTCCTGATTGGCTCTAACCCACTTCTTCTGGACCCTCACCTTGTCTTCCAGGGCCAGCTCTGCAGAGGTCTTGCCCTGGGGCCTGGTGATTGCTCTGCTCCTTATAACCTCACCACAGCTTCCCACCTCCCCACAGCGGTGGCCTCCTTTCAGAAGTTTACTGGGAAGTCTGCTCCTCAGCCTTGGGGAGGGGGCTCTGCTGTGTGGGGCCAGGGCAAGTGCCCGGTTCTTGGGATACAGCTCCTCCATAGCCAACTGGATGCTCTTCAGTGTTAGAGGCTCTCTGCCCACAGCTATGAAGGCATCACCCTCCCTGAAGAAGTCAGACACACTCTTGACTTCCTTGCCCTTGAGGGTGAACAGCTTCCGCACACGGTCATTCTTCCATCGCGGGATGCCCAAGGCTTCAGAGATGTCTGCTAGGAGCTGCTCAAAGGTCTGCACCGACCGCCTGTTGAGGAGCAGGGTGGCCTTGCGGAGGGGCTGTCCACCCAGCTTCACCACCGTCACCACCCTGGGCTTCAGCGGGCTGTGCTCAGCACGGACTGAGTGAAGACCACTCTGAGGACTGAACATAGGCATGACGACACCACGGGTCCCCAGGCCTGGTTTCTCCAGAGGCCCTCGCCCGGAAGGCAGCCAGGAGCCTTGCAGCTTTCGCTCAGAAATCTTGGAGCTTAAGCATTTTAGGGACTGGTCACATGGGCCTCGGTGGTCTGCAACGGGAAAAGGACAAAGGAGTTTGGTCAGAGTGGGCTTAAAGAATCCTTTGAACTTCAGCAAACTTGACTGGTGACGGCACTGGAAGTGTAACTCAGTCCCACAGCAGCTGCCAGCACAAAATATGTGTTTCTCTCCTTATCTAAAATAAGATGTATTTGAGTGTGACAAAAGTGTAATTAACATGTATAATGTACAAGGCCCTGGAGTTTTCTATCCCAGCACAAAAAAGGGGGGGGGCTGATACAGGGCCACAAGCTTATAACCCCAGCCTGGGGATGCTGAGGCAGGAAAATTGCTGTGAGACCAAGGCTAGAGCCTGAGTTCCAGGCTAGCAGGCAACCAAATGAAACCTTGTGGCAAGTAAGTCAGGCACCATAGCACACACCTTTAATCACAGCACTCAGGAGGCAGAGGCAGGGGGATTTCATTGAGTCTAAAGCCAGCCTGGTCTACAGAGCGAGCTCCAGGCCAGCTGAGGGATACATAGTGAGACACTGTCTCAAAAAGAGAAAGAAAAAAGTGTGGTTAGAGAGATGAGTCAGTAGTTAGGAGTACTGGCTGCCCTTCGGAGATTCTTAGTGCTGGAGTTCCAACATTCCAATACTGGCTCGCAACATGTTGTTCCAGAGGATCCAACATACATACCCCCTTGACCACCGGGCATGCATATGGTATACATATTTTCATGCAGGAAAACACCCCACACACAGATTAGTTTTTAAAGGTCAAAAGCAAGGGGACAGGAGAACTAGCCCAGTGATTGAGAGCGCAAACTGGTCTTGCAGAGGGACAGAGTTCAGTTCCCAACACCCATGTCAGGCAGTCGGCAACCACCTGTGATTCCAGCTCCAGAGGATCCAGTTCCTTCTTCTGGCCTCTCTGGTACCGAGACTCACATTTACACAACCCCACAACCACACACACACAAATATTTTGAAATAAAACAAGAATATCCCTAAAGTAACTGTACTGTTCAAGCTTTCATCGTGATCACCTGTAAATGTACTTGAATCAACCACGGCAGAAGCTTCCCTCATGCAGGGATGGATAGCTTGGCCCACATGTCCACACAGAATGTGTTTTGTTTTTTAATTATAACATACAATCTGTTCTGAGACGATTTCTATCCAGGCACATTGTCGATGAGATGACAAAGTAGTAGCTGGTACATATCTTCCCACGTGCGCTCGATAATCACAGTCTCCGTTGAGGGATTTATCTATGGACATCTGTTATACTTCTCAGTCGCCCTGCCCCCCCACCCCCGTCAGAGGCAGCAGCAACACTGACCTGAACTCCCTGCATTGCAGACCTGAAGAAGGTCATGAGGGAAGGTGGCCCTGAATGCATGTGTCTGTATGAAGGGCCAGTGAAGAGCGTAAGAAGACAGACACTTGTTTTCTTATGCTCTTCATATATGGTAGGACCTTGACTCAGACCTATCAAACTCTTGGTTCAGATGTCAAAGTCTAGGAACAGAGAACAGTTATCCCAGCCAGTATCCCAGACAAGGGCTTTCCCAAGTAGGAACAGAGAAAGGGCAGGGTAGCTCAAAGGACTAAATGTTGGCTAGGATCAGACACCACCCTCAGAAAGCCAAGAGGCAGATCAAAGACAAATACCAGAAGAAAGAGTATCCAGAACAATTGAAGGACGGGAATTGACTTGAGCCCCCAGCACTACATAGGGTGAAGGCACCTAGTAGAAGGGCCCAGGACCCTGCCATGAAGCTGGACCGGCTGTCCATGCGGTCCTGGGGTTACCACAAATAAATGCAAAACTCAAGGTGGGGCAGAAAATTCCACTTGCTTGGAGAAACGAATAGTCTCTACGTGACAGTGTCAAACCAAGGGATGGTTCAAGCCTCAACTGAGGAGAACAGAATTGGAGGTGGGAAAATAGCAGGCTCTGAAGCAGCTTTGAGAAGCTAAATTCCCAGCCATGACTTCAAAGTGTCCACTGTTCCGGGGAGGAAGAAGAGAATGGTCCTCAAAGGACAATCAGGCAGACAAAAATCCACAGACACACTGCTGAAGGTGGAGATTCATCATGGAAGGATGTTTCCAAAGACCCCAGAGAGAGGTTTAGATGGCGCATCAGGGTGGTGCCCATGAAACGGGACAAGCACTGGATGGCCTCGGCACTGGAGAGCAACTTAGGATCCTGAAGATGTGCGCCATAAGGGGACCTGAATCCTCAAGAGCCCAAACATTAGAAGGGCATAATATGTGTCTTCTGATGGGCAGCTTGAGCCTGCAGTACCCAGACCTGGGTAGAAGAGGGTGGATTGTCAGGATAGCCATATTTAAACATTTTCAGATGGTTCTGCCCAAAACTTTCATGGATCCCAGGAAGTTAGGAGAGCAAGCTGATAGTACCACACCTCTGAAGCAATGTGACAACCCAGGGCACAGTCAAATGGAATGTAAAGAAGAGCAGGTCAGTTTCTGCAACAGAGCATCAATTATGCCCAGTCCACTTCCTAGACATCCAGATGGTTAGACGTGCCATAGTCTGAAGGAAGACAGAGAACTCAGTCCCTCACCCTACCAGCAACACTGGAGCCTACAGAATTCTTGGTTCAGCAAGGAACTAGGGAGCCCCAGGGAAAACACAGCTGTGTTAGTGACTGCATTTGTTGCTTTTCTTGTGAATGTGACAGAATGCATGCCAGAGTGACTTAAGGGAGGGAAGGGTTATTTAGGCTGAGGGATACGGATCACCATGCTAGGGAAAATCGTGGAAGAAGGGTGAAGAAGCTGGCTGCATCCCTCCCATAGGCAGAAAACAGAGAGAGATGCAGCCCAGTGTCCAATTCTACTTTTCAGCCTAGGACCCCAGCCCACGGATGGGCACTGTGACAGTCCCTAAACATTGCCCCACCTCAATTATCCTGAGGACACCCAAATAGATTTGTCTCCTAGGCAACTGCAGACCCTTTTAGGCTGACAGTCAAGATGGACCATTGCATACCTTCTGCCACAAATAACAGTGCCACTGTTGAGAGCACCGCGTGCCACCACAAGCAGACCTGCTGAATGGATTGCAACTGGCAGGAAAAGAGTGTGTGACCAGACATCCGTCTTCCACAGAGAAAACCCATCAAGGAACGTGTATGAAGGACAACTAGGCAAGAGCGATCCATTTGCTCAGTTCCGGAAAACTTCATTTTGCAGCTGTAGCGTCAAATACAGAGTCAGAAGACCTCCACTGAACACTGAATCCACCCCAGTCTCGTTAGCTGAGTTCAAGCAGGACGGACTATTCTACAACCCCTCCAAGTCAGCTTGCCTGTCATTTGTCAGTTTTGGAGAGAAAAGTTCATTGAGGAAAAGCCTTCATCGAACTGGCCCATAGGCATGTCTGGGTGACATTTTCCTGATTGCTGACTAGCATGAGAGGGCCCAAGCCCACCGAGGAAGGTGCTAGCCCTAGGCAGATAGGCCTTAGCTGTATAAGAAAAACAGCTAAATGTGAGCCTGGGAGCAAGCCAATAAGTAGTGCTCCCCCATGGTCCCTGCCTCTGCTCCTGTTTGCATTCCTGCCCTGACCTCCTTCAGTGACAGACTGTAATCAGAACATGTAAGCCAAATAAACCCTTTCCTCCTCAAGTTGCTTTTGGTCATGGCGTGAACCATAGCAATAGAAAGCAAAAAAAAAAGGAAGTGCCAAACAGCCATAACGTCTCATTCACACTGAGGGGGCTGGTGCCCTGCTCGGCCTGGATGGGTCCTCCAGTGGTTTTCCACATTCTGAAAGAAAATGTGTCTTGCAAGCTTGAGTTTCTCCTGGATCCACATAAGTCTCGAGGTTAAAGAGAAGAGATGCTAAATACCATCCAGCAGGATAAATTTGTCGTTCATGTAGTAACTGAAAGAGATATCCAACAAACCTAAGTACATAGGCCTTCTGGTAGGATAAGCCAGCGTCCTGCTTGCTGGCCCTAGGATGCTCCAGTGCTGGCATGAACAAGGATGCACAGTAGCTAAACCAGCTTGCTGTGACATTGTGCTCTGGGATTGGTTTGACTTCAAGACTCCATGTCTATTACCTGCTGACGTCACTCAGATGAGTTCACAGAACATGATTCCGTGGTGACCAACTCTGGGAATCACACTGACCCAGTTTCCTCTCTCATTATTTGTCACTACTGGTATTTAGAAGACTAGCTGCCAATCACCAAGTATATAATCAAGACAAAACTAACATGAGCCTAATATTTTTACACTGTCTTTTACTTTTTATCACAAGGACAGTTTACCTTTGCCTGGCCATTTTTTTTAGTCATAACCCATGTATCTAATTCAAACAAGCAAAACCAAGCCATGCCTCTGATCAGTATTACCTTACAAGGTGCTATAGTAATCCACTAGAAAAAGAAAGTATCAGGGCTGGAGAGATGGCTCAGTGGTTAAGAGCACTGGCTACTCTTGCAGAGGACCCAGGTTTGATTACCAGCATCCATGTGGTGGCCTATAGCCACCCATAACTCCAGTTTCTGGAGTCAAACTGTCTCCCAGCACCAGGCACCTCTGTGATACACAGGCATTCATGCAGGCAAGACAACCACACCACATAAAAATTTAATTTTTTTTTAAGAAAGAGAAGGATTGCACCAGTTACCACAGGACATAAGTAATACCTAATTGTTCCTGAAGCATATAGAAACTTTGTGTATTAAAGGCTCGCGCCTTTAATCCCAGCACTTGGGGAGGCAAAGGCAGGCAGACCTCTGTGAGTCTGAGGCCAGCCTGATCTATAAATCGAAATTGTCTCTAAAAAAAAAAAAAAATGCAAAATACAAAAAAAGAAAGAGAGAGAGACATGGTGTTTTAAATACCCCGTAAAATCCATTACAAAATAAATAAATAAAAAGTTACTGCATCTGCTGGGCGGTGGTGGCTCATGCTTTAATCCCAGCCCTTGAGAGGCAGAGGCAGGAGGATCTCTGTGAGTTGGAAGCCAGCCTGGTCTACAGTGTGAGAG